CTTCGGAAAGAATTTTTTCTGAAAATTAACTAACGAACGGAGACGTAACAGTATTTTGTTTTTCATGTATTTAGTTATTTTCTTTCGTTTAAACTAACGTAATATGGAATGCCAAGTTTTGTGCGAATGCGGTCGAAAATCAAAAAAATGTTTTTTGCTTGCACTTGTAGCAAGTTGTAGTTGTAAGTATAACTTTGTTAAGAGAAATTTAAAGACATGGCAAGAAGTCAAGAAAACTGTGAATCTTTAATATTTGATGTTGAATATGATGAAGAACTTGCAAAATCGTTTGAAAGTGCTGCTGATTATGTTGCTTCCAAAACTGACGACTTTGATGGTGATCAGTTGTTGATATTCTATGGTTTATATAAACAGGTAGGTTAAAATGAGACTAATAGCAATATACAATTAGATTCAGAGAGAGAAAAAGAGAAACATATTTATTACAATTTGCTCCAATTCTGAAATTGTAAGCATTTCTATATAAATTATAAAAGAAATAAATGGCTTCAATATTGTTTAAGTCTAATCAAACTGAACTAGTCAAGGCTAAGACTAAGATTAAGAAGATGGGGTTAGGGGTTATAATATAAGTAACTTTTAAATTTAAGTAAATGCATGCCGAACTTATAAGTTGACATTATGATTTATCATGATGAATTTAGTACTGCTCCAGACAAAGTTATCTAGTTCTGGTTGGTATTATCTCAACTTTTACTGTTTTAGTTTTCATCCATGCAGACCTCTCAACTTGAAGTTGAATCTCATTCTCACACTCATACTGATAGGGTATTGTATTTTCCTCTTATAAACCTGATGATTTCAATTTTATGCATTTTGGCTTTGCATTGGAAAAAAAACCAAAAAACTCAATTCCCTAAATGATCTTAAACATCTTTATAAGATCCCCTCTAACTCCCATTTTCTCTAGATAAAACAATTTCAGAGATTTTAAAATGACCTCTATGATAACCTTTCTTTCTTAGATTCAAGTACCATCCTTCCTAAGATTAGGAGCCCAAGACTGAACACAGTACTCAATCTAGACTATCTAGTGACCTTTACAATGAAATTATTATATATTTAAAATTATTTCAATATTACTGTAGATACAACCTAAAATCCTATTTACCCTACCACTAGCAACAGCACACTGCATGGATGGCTAAAGAAACTAGTCAAGCAGAATACCAAGATGCTTTTTTTTAATAATACTCTCAAGGTTATTTCCTTAGAAATAACATTTATAAGTTAGATTATTGTAAGTGTCCAGAAATGAAAGCTAAAAAGAATGTTATAATATGTCAACCACACTACCTCTACAATATCCTGTGCTGATGAGGCCTTTCACCCAATACCAAGGTTCATCAGGCCAGCTGAAATATGACAAACATAGTAATGGGGTTTATGGACAGTATATACCATCAGTTGGTGAACTATTATGTGAATCAGATTAAGCAAGTGAATTGTAATTGTTATAAATTTTACTTTAGTCATTATAATAACTCACATGCATTACCTTGCACTTATCATAATTAAAAGCTGTCTGTCATTTATTCTCGCAACCCATCAAATAACCAAAATTATTTTGTGAAGCAGTAGCATCCACCACAGAACCAGCAATACCCAATACCTTAATATCATCTGCAAATTTAAGCAATTTATGTTCTTGATGCAAATCAAAATGAGCAAAGGTCCTAACAATGAACCCTGAGGTACTCCACTTATAACATGAATTCAGTTTGACTAATCCATTTATAACAACTGTTTTTTTCCCCTCAAGCCATTTTTTGTAACTTCCAGTTACGTCCTTTCATCTTTTCTAAGCACATACATATATCTGAACACAGAAAAGTTTAATGCATTTGGAAAAATCAGACATGTTTTAAATAACATAATAACAATTGAGATGAAGTCAAAGAGGATCGATAATGGCAATGGACTTTGATGGAATAAACTGTGTGAAATCAGAATTGAGAAATATAATATAATGAAATACTTCACTGAAAAAATAAATTATTGTAATTATAAAACATGACAAAATATAAATTAATAATAAGTAAAACATCTGCCACAAACCTTAGAACAAATATTATTTTAGAAAGTAGTTTTTTAAATAAAAAATACATTACTTACATGTTAAACAAGATCATTTGTACAGGATCTTGTAATTTGACATTTAATAAAGAATGCTTAGCATGGTCTTAGAAGAGGGTTTTTCCTTTGTAAACAATCGATAAGGTACTTTACAAGTGAATAATTTGTAAGTATGAATCCTATGGCAATGATTATAAGAAGTAGATCAAAAATTAGCTTAGTGCTGTAAAACAAAGCAAGGTGATAAATAGTTTTTTTTTTATCTGTTGGAAAAATGTAATTAGTAAGTGTTTTTAGAGTTCTGTTGTTTTTTCTTTAAGTGATTTAATTTTTTTGACACGGATGTTTTCAGATTCTGTAATGATAACAAATTTCCAAGAAGAATTTGTATTGTAAAAAAAAGGTTTCTTTACTTCAGAATGAACGTAACACTTAGTGAGTAATTTAGAACAAGTTTTAATGTTGAGAAATATTAAGTTGGAAAATTTTATAGAAAATGTTTAATTAAGGACATACATATACTTGTTGTGGAAGAAGAGCATTGGTATTATACATGGGTAAAGAAAATTTCTGATAAGGTACTCTCCCTCTGCTCACAAGATTAGCTTTTCTTATTTTGTGCTGTACTCTGTATGTGAACTTTTTTCAGAAATGCCACAAGCCTTCATCCTCACTCTGTTAGAATCCAAAGTTCCAACACGTCTCTCATGCAAATCATCATGCATCACTTCTCCACCAACAGGAGAGCACTACTATTATATGACACATGTGACTCCCTCCACGTGCCATTATCAAACTATCACTTCTTGTTTGGCAGCTGACAAGTTCAGACGTTCTTTTTTACATTGTTTGGTTACCTTAAAGTGGTTTATTTTTTTCGTTTTTTTATATTTTTTCTTTATTTACTACACTTCACAGTTGTGAGTTAATATTTTATTTAAACATTACTTCCTTGTGTTTCCCGCTTATGAATTCAGAAGTTAAAGTCACCACTTTGGGTACTTCACCAGCATTGTCTGATGCCATATTTTCAGGCACTGTTGACCTGTTGGGGGATATATCATTGCTCAATTGCCATTGAGATTGAGCGGTATACGAGCCAACCTCTCTCGCCTACTTCTACCCCACTTCCTCCTGAGCCTTTTGAAGACAATTTTGATTGTTTGCCCTCCCCCCACGGAGTTTGGCGAGCCTTCCAGTTCACTACCTGATGGTTCATCTCGTCCGTCATTGGTCTTTTCAGACTTTCTCAGGTATGTGATGTTTGTATCTTACACCTGTTTCCTATGACCCTAGACCTTCCCTGTTACGTGAAACAACTTCCTGATCCTATTTAGTCTTTCCCCCGTCCCATGATATTAGGGTTCACATGGACTGATTTGCCTCTTAACTAGGGGAGAGTGTTAGTAAGCCTTGTCCCCCGAAAGGTACATTACCAGGGTCATGAGAGTGAGAAAATTGGGCTTGGGTAAGTTGGACAGGGTATAACTGACCCGAACAATTCATCGTCAAGAAAGGGAAAGTCTGCTTAATGATAAGCAATGGCGAACTGATCCGAAGTCCTTTTCCATTCACCATTTGTCAGGTGCCCTGAGGGGTTTTATGCTGAAATCCTCTCCATCCTTACTTCTACATTGGCTTGTCTGTTGTCTTCGATTCTCATGCTTCAAACGTGGTTTGTTTGTTGGTGGGACCTCTTGGGCCATGATACAGTTTTACCACGGACCCGTCTCTGGGCTCCTTATCTGAGGGACCTCCACATGGCATCATTTATGCTGTGTTATGTGTTTGACTCAGTTCCTGAGTTTTTGGAGTCACGGGTTGCCTCAACTCATCAACATTTTACCCTTACTAACTTGGTAGATTGTTTGTTGCAGTCGGAACCAAGCTTGCACCGATTCCTGTCCCCTGACCTTCCCCTTCCCAATTTCTTCCTGTGCCACGGTTTAATGATTTACTCCACGATGCACGATCCACCAACAGCACTACCGGTGACTATGTGGTCAGTTCGGTCCCAGTTAGAGCTCGTTTCTTGAAAGTTGGTCATCTGTGGGGACCTTTTCTCTCCAATGTCTGGGTTCATAAGGTGCTCTTGGAGGGATATATCCCCTTTCTCTCCATTCCTCTATTATCCAGTATTCCCATTCCCTTCCCTTCTCCTCAGGATCCCTTGACACGCCAGCATCTGTCAGAGGCAGTTCAGGACCTCATCTCACAACGGACTATCAAACCAGCTCCACCAGGCTTGTGGGGGTTGTACTCCCACCTTTTTTTGTGGTTCACAAGAAGACTGGGGACTGGCGTCCTGTCATCTATTTATCTCGTCTCAATTAGTATGTTCACATTCCTCGCTTTACCATGGAAGCATACCTTTCTCTTCAGTGGGTATTTTCTCCAGGTTTTTGGATGACCAAGGTAGACATTTCCAATGCTTACCTACACATTCCTGTGGCAGAGCGTTCCCATCGATATCTTTGTTTTGTCCATTGGGGGGTTGTGTACCAGTTTCGTATCTTACCTATTGGCCTATCCTCAGTACCATACGTGTTTTGTCATGTGGTCCACTCCTTTGCTCCGCTTCCATGTTTATATGGATGATTGGCTTCTTCTTCTTGCTCATTCTGAACAGGAATCGGCCTGTCACACTCATCAGCTACTGGCCAAAGTTGCACGTGTGGGCTAGTTGGTCAAATTGGAGAAGTCTTTCTTTTGTCCTACCCAATATCTTATCCATTTGGGTGTTTACTTCAACACCCAACTTAGTCGGGCCCAATCTTCTCCTTTCTGGCTCCATTCTATGGAATGGGCTGTTTAGAAAGCCCTGTCTGTTCCCTCACTTACAGCTCATGAGGTTCTATCACTTTTGGGGATGTGGTCCTCTGTGACCCCTCACATATCCCTGGGCAGGGCCCATATGCTGTTCCTTCAACAGGTCTTTCACGATCAATGGAACCTCACCTGGGATTTCTTGGAATATATATTATTTATATTATTTTCTCTGCACAGAATTGAACCTTAAACCTTCCATAAGTCAAATTAGTGCTCTGTCAACTGAGCTAAAGCTAAAGCTAATTGTTAACCCACTAACAATTATTAACATAGCCGTTTTTAACCTACTACCACATACAGACTGATGAGTACTTACTAAGACTATTGTGTAGTTTTAGACCACTTTTGACCAAAAAAAAAGACATGCTATGGAGTCCAGAGAAAGGCTGCAAGAACAATACAAGATTTAAAAACTTTGAGTCATAAAAAGAAGCTTAAATACTTGGATATATATGTTGTTTGTTTGTTTAGTTGACTTTGTTGAGATATTTCAAAGATTGGATAATTTGTGTTTGGATGGTATGTAATAATTGGAAACACAAATTTAAATATTAAGGATAATAATGAGATGCTTTTGAAGTCATAATCCAAACTTTCTTTTTAGCAAAAGTATATATAAATATATCTTTGTTAGAGTTATGAACTTAGAGAATTTTTGCTTTATCATGTGTGTACTGGATTTATTTTTGTATATTGCATGTGCATGGATATGTTTGGTTCCATCTAGTTTTGTTTGGTTGTTTTGAGATCAAACACATTTGTTCTTCTGTTACTTTGCTTATCTAAACATATCTATCATTTTTGTTTACAATTAATTGATTATATAATTTTAAAATCTGGTGAAATTTTATAGATTTTAATGCTTTCTATTTGTTGGCATCTATTAATATTTTGCAGTTTTGTACTCTATCAATGATGTTATCCATAATGAAACATTTTCACTGTTTTGAATTGACAATTTTTTCTTGAAAAAGAAGTTTTTACTGCTATTTTTATGATATTAAGTTTTATTATGTTTATCCCTTAAGGGAGTGCTTTCCAAACTTCAAATAGTGGTATCCTCTAACTCAGGAAAGTGTCCGTTGAATCCCACTTTAACATGAGAAAAATTGTCACAAGTGATAACAGCAAAATCCAAATTTATTTTCAATGAAAAAATGCTTGTATGAAGTGAGTAAATGCAAGGCAAAAAAAAGCTTTGAGAGCAAAGTGATACTTTTTTAGGTTATCATAGTCTGTAACTCTTCTGTTTCTTCTGGAAAACACTATCTTAAATAAATAATTGTAAAACTAATAACTATATTTACTTTTGATAAGGACAATACATGACTTGTTTGTTTCTTTCAAGTTCTCTAACAAAATGCATGTGTTACTGTAAAAGTTCAGTTCTCCCAATATCATACATGTAATAAATTGTACTTGTCATTTCACACTAGAGGAGATTTTATTTTAGGCACAAGAAGGGCCTTGTTTGAAGAATAAGCCAGGGATTTTTGACTTTAAAGGAAAGAAAAAATGGTTAGTAACCTTCTTTTGTACGTTTCTGCACTACATAAAAATGTATTTGATCTTAAAATTTAGTTATTTTTTTAACTACAAACATTGTCATTCATATACTATATTATATGGACTTATGGGCTTATGGCATTGTTTAGTATATAAGCAGTTGCAATTCCATTCTCCATTGTGGAATTATTCATTCATTAAATATCAAAATGATATTTGATAATTTCGTTTAGTTGTTCATATATTCAAGAAATTATGATTGAAACCACATACATCATAGCTATATATTATGTACCCCCAAAACTTCTATCAGTATCATTAACTTATATAAATGTGTTAGACTTAAGTTCTGTCTAAAGTTATTTATAAATAGATATATTTAATCTTTTACAATTAAAACCGAATATAAACTATTTAGGCATAACATATTAAGAAATCTACATGTAATAATTTCTTTACTTAGGTGTAGACATATAAATACATAGTAGCCATTCATTTAAACTAACATAACATAATGTTTAGAGACAACAAGAGACCTGTTTGTCCATCTAGGCTGTCCAGTTCTCTAAACTAAACTAAAACTATTAAATAAAGAAATAAGAAAAACACCTAAAAGCCATCTGTTAGCATTCATATAGTTATCAAACTTTCTCTTAAACTCACTTAAATTTACTGCCTCCACAAAATCCAAAGGCCAACCACCCTGTTAGAAAAATAAAACTGTCTTAGCTGAAGATTACTCCTTCTCTGCCAAAATTTATATCTCTGTCCACTAGTCCTACCATTCTCACCATTAAATATGAAAAAGATGGTGCTTCAACATTATCAGTTACGTTAACAATATTAAACACCTCAATTTGATCCCCTCTTACTCATCATTTTTCAAAAGAAAACAGTGTCACAGATCTTAACCTCTCCTTGTATGACAACCCCTCCATCACAGGCACCATTCTAGTAGCCCACCTCTGAACCATTTTCAACAATTCAATGTCTTTCCTAAGGTAAAGAGCTCAAGACTGAACACAATACTCCAAATGTAGCATAACCAGTGTCCTATGTAATGACATTATAACCTCTTTAGACTTGTATGCAATACTTCTGTAGATACAACCTAAAAGACTATTTGCCCTACCACTAGCAAGAGCACATT